GCTGGAGCACCGCGCGCACAGAGCCCGGCGCAGCCGAGGGCAGCTGCAAAAGGCGGCCTGGATCGCCGTGCTGTCCGCCCGCCGGGCCTGTGCCTGGCCCCGCCCCCGGCCGACCCCCGCTGGGTAGCGGAGCCTTCAGGGCCCCTGCGCAGACATCTCAGGGTCCTGCTTCAGAGGAGTGCATCAAGCAGGGAAGCACGGAAACTTCCTCCCTACCGCGCCTGCGGGGTCCAGGCCCTCCCCGGGCAGCTAGGTCTCCAGTTCAAGCTCAGGGGGCACAGGGTCGCCACCCACGGGCCGCGAGCACTACCCGCAGCTGGCGAAACCCAGGGCCTGCCCCTGATCCCACCGCCCCTTCCGGTGTGCGACTGTGGGCGGACGCTCCCCTCCCAGCCCAGGCATTAGCCCGCACTTCACAGGGCCCTGTTCCACAACTCAATCACCGGCGGAAGAGTCCCAGCCAATAAATCACCTGCCCACAGGGAAGAGGGGCCCACGCGCCCCTGGTGTTTGATATCCGCCGGGCAAAGGTAGAAGAGGTCCAGGCTTGGCCTGCAAAACCCATCTGCAACCTCCTACTCCAGTCCTGGAAGCTTTGCGTTTTCAGATTTCACCCCTTGCTAAGATATGACTCATCACTGTCAAGTTTCAGGGCAATTCCTATAGTTTGAAGGGAAAAAAATCTGTCAAGGCACCAGCAAGCCACACAGCTTTCTCTGGTCTGAAGAAGTGGCCTGTGTTACTCGACAACAGTATTATTCATATAATCAACAGGCATCGCTGGCTGTAGGCACACAGAATCTCCACTGGGCTGTGGAAGGCAGGCAGGCAGGCAGAGATGGCCCTGCCCTCAAGGAGCCCCAGGCCAAGAAGGGAAGCAGACAGTGAGCCCAGGGATAAGCACAGGAACAAAAGGTGATAAAGGTGATAGGTGGAGCTCCAAGGAGGAAGCACTTTGCTCTGCTTCCTGATGACTTAGAGGAAGCGACAAGGAAGAGCCTGGGTCTGCCAGGTGGGCTCCAGCGGGCTTCCTTCACCCAGGAAGGGCACAAGGACATTTTAGGAACTGCGAGGAGGACAGGGTGTGCAGATAGGAGTGGCTGCAGAAAAGACTGAGAAGCAGGTGAAAGTGAGGCTGCAGAGAGCCCTGAGGAGATAGGATCCAGGCTACGAGACGTGCCAAAGCAGAAGCTTTCCCTGCAAAGACCAGACGAGAACTGCTCCACTGCCAGCTGCCGGAGTGTGCATGTGGGGCTCACCAGATGAGGCTAGTGACACAGCCCAGGTGTGAGGCAAAAGGGGACCGGAACTGTCATCAGAATTCTCGCTTCTTGCTGGGCAGGTGGCACATGCCTATAATCCCAGCTACTCAGGAGGCTGAGGCAAAAGGATCGCAAATTTACACGGGCCACTTAGCAAGACCCTCGCTCAAAAAACAAAAAGAGCTGGGCTTGTAGCTCAGTGGTAGAGCACTTCTGGGTCTGATCCCCAGTACTCAAAGAAAGAAAAAAATATATATATTACTGATCTTTCAGGCTGCCATACAGCCATATGAAAGCCAGGCTTGAGTGCATCTGGGACTCAGCTGCACCCAGCTCACCACCATGGCCAAAGGCAGGCACTGCTACAGGGCATCAGTGCCGTTGTACAAGTGTGCTGAAGCCCATCCTTCCTCATCACGGCCAGCGTGGGCAAGTCAGCCAAAGGCATAGACAAGGACTAAAAAGGCTGGGCGTATAGCTCAGTGGCACAAGCGCCTGGCTGGCAAGCATAAGGTCCTGAGTTTGATTCCCAGTACAAAAAAAAAAAAAAAAAAAAAAGGCCTAAGTTCACCTTCATATGCTGCACACAACTGTGATGGGCCTCTGTCCATCAAGTTGGTAGACACTCTTTGTACTAAGCACCAAAGCAGCCTAATGAAAGCTGATAGCAACAAGAAACTCCTAAGGGAATGGATGGGACTCTGTAACAAACGCCTGAAAAGAAAACCCCATGCAGTGGCTGGTTACGGTTGTGTAGAGGTTATAGACTATGGCAAACAATCTCAGGCCGAGAATGTCACTGAAGAGTATTTCAAACGCCAAAAAATAATACATTGAAAATCTGACTCACTTTCTTAAAAAATTTATTGAGCATCGAGCATTGGGAGGAATTTTTTAAAAGCAAAGGTTTTCACGGATTAATGTGACTGTGACTCACTTTCAGCAGGAAGGTAAGTATGTGCAAAGTCCCAAAGAACACTGTGAGACATTATCCAGGCCAAGGAGGAGGAGTGAAGGGCAGCTCATCAGTGCAGCAAAGGAGCCTAGAAGAGGGACAGATGCACCGGCCCATGGCAGTCCAGAACGCTCTGCCCGGCAGGAGACAAGGGCCTGGTCACCCAGGAGAGGCTGCATCATTGCAGGCAGAGGGGCCTGGAGGAGCCGCCATGGACAGAGGTGGGGAACGGGAGATGGGAGACAGAGTCTGCATGGGGCTGAGTGGGTGATCCGGAGGGCACAGACAGTGGAATGCCAGAACCATGCAATCAAATGTGGGCTTCATGCCAGGTGACATACAACAGGCTCATCAGGAGACACTGACACAAGGAGGGGGCACGTGTAGAAGGCCAACTTTGGAACCTCAGGGTAAGGCGCTGAAAGTGGACAGGTGAGTTCAGATCCTGTTTCCTCCATTTATTATGATGCAACCAGGTGACCATTATTCTAGTCTACTATTATTAGTAAATACCTCATTTATGAATTCAAAACCTGCACAACCTAAGACAGAAGGCCTATTATTTTCCCCAGTTCACAGCCAAGGAAGTGGAGACTACACAGTTAAGTAACCTGAGCAAGGTCAACCAGTTCCTCAGAGGAAAAGAACTCAACCCAGCTCCCAAGCCCAAGTGCTCTGCCGCCTCCTCTGTAAAGTACAGATGATAATGGCGACTGTTTTGTGTCATGGCACCACTATGTGTGACTGTGTACTTTCCAGTGGAGCTCGCTATTCTCCCTGAGGAAGGCTGCTCAACACCCTCCTGGCCTGTCCACCCTAATGCCAGTCCTAGGGCAGGCCTACATCCCTCTCAGTCTCCTAACCCACCTCCCCTACCCACCCTGTTTTATGCCAGTGCCAAAGAATTTTTTTAGGGCTGGGGATATAGCTCAGTGGCATAAGTGCCTGCCTGACAAGCGTGAGGTTCTGAGTTCTGAGTTCAAGTCCTGATAGCAAAAAAAAAAATTGTTTTAAACTACAAATTTCACCGAGTCCCACACATCTCCCTGGCCTCTACCTAGGAAAAGTACTCCAAGCTCTGCAGGATAGTGTTTGTACCCACGTAGCCTAGCTTCAAGGCTCTCCAGATCTGCCCTGCCACTTTTCCACCAGGTGTCCAGCACTGCCACTTGTAGAGGTTCATCTCAAACCCAAGCTCAAACCCTTCCTACGCCAAAATAAACTTCCCTGGCCAGCTCCTCACAGCCACTTATTTATTTGTACAAGGTCTACTTACCCAAAGAGTCTGTAATGTTGCAAAATTGGGAAGTATGCCACTTTGCCTCCCTATGGCAATCCGCAGTAGATAGTCACTGAATTTTGAAAATGTAGGTGAGACCAAACCTAACATGAGCAGGGCCTGGGGTGAGTGGAGTGGACACAGACTGTGAAAAGCATCAGGGCTCACTGTGAACTCTGATAACAGAGAACAAACGCTTCTGGTTCTCCTCGGAGCCCTCAGCCTAATTCTCTACTCACCTTCCAACTACTACAAGTCCCCCTAAAAGCTTTCTTCTATGCTTTCTGCTCTCCAAAAGCCCTCCCCATATGATCTCCGCTATTCCTTCAGCTCTAAATATAATCCAACCCAGGTGTGATGGTGCACGCCTGTAATCCCAGCATTTGGATTCTTTTTTTTGTTTTGTCCCCCCCCTCCTCCCCGGTACCGGGAATTGAACTCACGACCTTGTGCTTGCCAGGCAGGCGCTGTGCCGCTGAGCTAAACCCCCAGCTCCCAATCCCAGCATTTGGGAGGCTGAGGCAGGAGAATAGCCAGGAGTTCATGGCCAAGCTG